GACCCACAATGCCAACTCTCCCCCCCACCCGCCCGGAAAATTTTACTTTCTTTCTGGTTGGTGTGTGTGTGTGTGTCCACCTCATCTCACGTGGCTTGTCATGGATCCACCAGGGATCCTTTTTCCCACCTCCCTCCAAGGGGTGGTTGTCTTGGCAATGGGTGCCCAGAGGCCCTTGGCTGCTCTGTGTGTGTGTGTGTGTTTGTGTGTGTGTGTGTGTGCGTGCAAGCGCGCGTTGCACAGAAATCCGTCTTCGCTGTGAAGAGCGGGGACCAAAATAGACCAACTTGGCAAAGCATCTGTGGGTAGGAAGCGACGACATGCAACAGGGAAAGTGCGGAGCGTTGAAGCAGCGGGTGGGTTTGAGGTCCATCGCTGCCACAAAGCCCATTATCCTCAGCCCAGAAGACCTGTACAGAGCAGGGGTTCACAAACTCTTGGGAAGGCCTTCAAAGTTCTCCGGGATTTTCGGGCGTCGTTTTTTGGGTCGAGCTGTTATTCAGGCTATCCAGCTAGAAACTGGGCGATGGGGAATTCTAGTTTTGGCCTTAGGGGATGAAAGTTGACTGGGTGACTTTGGCCCAATCACCAGGAGACGGGGAGTTCTAGTCCCACCTTAGGCACAAAAGCCGGTTGGGTGACTTTGGGCCACTCACTAGGAGTCGGGGAGTTCTAGTTCTACATAAGCCATGAAAGCCATCTTGGTAACTGGGTGAGTCGCGCTCTCTCAGCCCAGCCCACCTTGCAGGGTTGCTGGTTACAGGCAAAAGAGAAGGAAGGAAGAAGGAGGAATGTTCACCACTTTATTTAAAATTAATCACAAATCAGGATAAATAAAGAATACATTTAATAGAATAAGAAATAGAAGTAGAATAGAAATAGAATAGAAATAGAAAGAAATAGAAAAGGAATAGAATAGAACAGAACAGAATAAGAAATAGAAGTAGAATAGAAGTAGAATAGGAAAAGAATAGAAATAGAATAGAATAGAATAGAATATGGAAAAGGAATAGAATAGAATAGAATAGATTATAGAATATAATATAATAGAATAGAATAGAATATAGAAAAGGAATAGAATAGAATAGATTATAGAATAGAATAGAATAGAATAGAATAGAATAGAATATAGAAAAGGAATAGAATAGAATAGATTATAGAATAGAATAGAATAGAATAGAATAGAATATAGAAAAGGAATAGAATAGAATAGAATAAATTATAGGAATAGAATAGAATAGAATATAGAAAAGGAATAGAATAGAATAGAATAGAATAGAATAGAATAGAATAGAATAGAATATAGGAATGGAATAGAACAGAACAGAAC